TTGCATTTACAGCAGATGGGCCGTATTTTTGGCACTTGAATACTTGAAAAGCTTTATTGCTAACCTTTTTTTTTTTTTGAATCTATGCTGATTTCATGATAGATCTGTTTTTATTTCCTTGTAAAAAATGTTTTAAAATAATAATTAAAAAAAAAAAGCTCTAACTTTGTTATGAGCCAGTCCACCAGAAAGGAAGTGGGATTTTCAAGTCATTTTTAAGTTTTTTGTTGTGTTTTAGAAGGATACACTTGACAAAAATATAACTTATTTAAAAAAATCATCAAATCCACCAATAGAATGAGAGCTCTTATTTAAAAATTGACTGAATTGCCAAGGTTTTTTTGTTTGTTTATATGTGGAAAATGTCTTAATGTAGTTTTATTCAAAGATGCACTAGAGATGATGGCAAGTAAAATCTTGCTAATTATGTCAGACACCAGTTTGATTCATGGCAAAGCAGACTGAAACCCAGGATCAAGATTTCTTTTTCTTTTATTGTTGGTCCTGTTAGATAAATCTGAGCTTCTGATATTCTGACATACAGTTTAGGAAAATAAATATCACTGAATTATTCATATAGATTTCTCACCCTAGAAAGCACTAGGGATTAGGAACATTTGTTTAATTGATTTTTTTTTTTTTTCATTCAACCTTTATTTATACAGGTTAATCCCATTGAGCCTCAGGGACTCATTTACAAGATAGACCTGAATTTTTAAATGTTTTTAATCAGACATGCAGTTATGAACATCAACCTTTTTTTCCACATTTGTAAACAAGTTGTTGAGCTATGTATTTTATTTTCACTTTAAACTGGGAATTAACAGCAGTAAAGTATTTGTTATTCAATTTACAACATTTCAGTATGTTTAGCAGCTTCATTAATAGCTACATTTTGACCTGCACTGCATATTTAAAAATACATTTAATTGATGTAAAACATTTGTTTTCATATGTAAAATATTTTTTTTAGCAACTTGTTTATTTCTGTGTTTCATTTCATGAGCACATATCAGATTATATAATCCTTTCTGAATTACATGTACTGTTTATGGTAATCCATAAAAGCAACTTAGTGAACAATGTTTTATTTCATGAAACTCTTATCTTATTATGTATTTATTTGCTCCATATTTAAATGAAAGCAACAACGAATCATCGTTTTGAATCACTGATGAGACGAACTGGTTTGATATGCTCAATAAAATGTTGCAACGTGTTGAACTCTGTTTCCTTTACGTTTAATGTTGTAGAAAGTGTTTTTTGTGAACGTGTAGTTAGCGCAGGGCTTATTCACATCACTGTGTGCCACCTCCTGCCTGTAGCTGGACCAGTGTTGTAATGTAATGAAGTAGAAATACTTTGTTACTGTACTTAAGTAGAATTTTGACGTATCTTTACTTCGTTATTTACATTTCTAGTGACTTTTACTCCACTACATTTCCTCAATAAAATGTGTACTTTTACTCCGATACATTTCCCTTAACCATCTTAGTTACTTGTTCCTACAATATAAAATTAGAAGAAATCTGATTGGGCAATGCCTGTTTGTTCTCCCAGTCTGTGACTTCATGTGGCCCCTTCTCTCTCTCACTGACACAAACCCAGCCGCTCCCCCGCAGCTTGTATAAAAACTTCACACTGCAGCTCCCACTGTGAACAAGTTAGATGCATACTAGTGGAGCCACTGTAAATACCTGATAGGTGTGAAAATGACGGTAGCTGCTAAAAATGAGAGGTTTGGTGTTCTCCAGGACATTAACTGCTTTAGAGCAGCAAGGTATGAAGTTGGGCCACTAGTCTTCCCATTAAAGAACAGGGAGACACGGTGTGGTGCGTTCATTAACGTTGGAACAGCCACGTTGCATTCAAGAGCATAGGAATTATTAAATTCTGAAAGAAACAAGCCATAACCAACAGAACCAGCTCAGTCAACAAGCCAACTACACAACAATGTGGACTTTCTAACAGCTTTGATAATAAAGTTTAATACAGGTTAATAAAAGTTAAATGAATGTACTTTATTAGAATCAGACTTTTTAAAGATCAATCTTTCATGTTCAGTTCAAACTTTCTAAGTCTTTGTCATTGGATACTGCACCCAATAAATGTTGTTTTGGAAATTCTAACCATCCACTTTTACTTAATACTCTTCCTTTAAGTACATTTTATATGAGAAATTTACTTTTGATACTTAAGTACATTAAATGTCAGATACTTTTAAGACCTTTACTCAAGTAATAATTTTAAAGGAGACTAACTTTTACCAAAGTAATTTTATGGTAAGATACTTGTACTTTCACTAAAGTATCACTATGAGGTTATACAACACTGAGCAGGACTCATTGTTTGTGATGCATCAACCACTGCTGTACTGTCTGCAATTTTGTAAATACTGAGTTAAAATTTGGTGTGGTAGTAGCTGAGCATTATTCCCCACACACACACTAAGATCTAAAGTTAAAGTTACATAAAGTTATTTTAGAGGTTTCAAAGAAAAGACTGAAACTGTCATTCTCGAGATGATAAAGCTGGCACGAACGGCAACAACGGATAAATGCATAATTTAAAGATGGCTACATCTTGGATTGTTATAAGCATTAGTTTTAGTTTTACTAACATAATCATGAATTACTGAACCCAAAGCACTTCAGTAAGATCTTGCAGTAGATTTCTCATTTGCTGGCTTGCATCACCTGTTTACAGCCGAGTTGCGTCAGTGAGAAGAAGGTTATGCTGCAGAGTACACTGAACAGTAAAATCCCAAAGGATCAGGGTTTTTTTCTTTCTTTTTTTACATATGGTCCAAACACGGAGCATATGAGACAAATAAAATGTTAATTTGTGATGGACTGCTTGTTAAAACATAAACATTCAAAGAAAAATGCTACAAGAGTGGATAAGTAAACTAAGACACAGGCGACTGCATTTTGATATATTTAAATACACAACACACTCATAAAATGAATGATTTATTGAAACAAGTTGCTCGATGATAAAAGCCTTAAAGACTCTGCATGAAGCAAACAATTAGTACTTCTGTACAGACCCAACTCCATTTGAACACACCCATCGTGCATCCTGAAACCATCCAATCGTTTCATACATTCAAACTGCTCTAGTTCACGTTACTGACCAATTACAGCACAGACAGGACACAACTTACTGAAGAAGAAAAAATAATAACCAACAAGAACTGGCCTAACCTAAGAGAACAAACTGGTTCTTGGGAAGAGAGCTCACAAGTTCCTCAGCCCAGTCAGGAAAAGTCATGTTGTAGGTGAAGACTGAGGTAAGTTGATGAGATACTTTGTTTTCTACAGAGAACAAACTTTCAGACAGACTTTTAAAAATATGTGTGTACAAAAAGTGAACCTTAACCATTTCCTTCACTTTTGTCTCCTATGAACCCAGCCTTCCAGCATCAAGACCTCTTACTGACCATGTTAAACAGCAGTCTAAGTTCAGCCGTCAGCCTTCACGATAACTCCTCCATCCCCGAGGGTTACCATGGTCCTCCACTGTGGTATCACTACCCCGAGTGTGAAAAGACTCCTTACACGTTTATTTTCTACTACGGAGTCAAGGTGCTGAACTTCTTGGTTGGATCACCAAGTAATATCTTGGTCGTCTGGCAGATTGCTAGCAAGAAAAAGAACAGCTCCACGTCTGACGTCTTCATCTTCAATTTGGCTTTATTAGATGCGTACTTCTGCTTGATGACACCCATAGAGCTGCTCAACAGGATGCTGTGGAGTAACAATTATGTCTGGTACTTCCAGAGGTTTGCGTACGGGGTGAAGGACTTAACGCCGCTTTTTCTTGTAAGTGCTTAGAATTTTCTCTTGTTGTGATGTCATCTTCAAATCAAACTAAATATACCTGAAAAAATATACTTTTTTTAAATTATAGCCCTCTTTACAACCATTTTACAGCTTCAGGTTTATTTATTTTACTAATGAAAGGTTATGTTGGAGCCACACTTAAAAAGTTCAAAAACTGTTATACGGTGGGTACTCATTACCCATTGTGGTATATTTATTTGTTTTAATATTTAAGAATTTAGGTAATAACCCATTTATATCACATTTTGAGTGTGTGAAAATAAACTTGTGCAAACTAACCCATTCAAATAACAGCCTGTTAAAGACAGGCTAAAGACAATTATTTATTACCGGTATCCTAAATTGTGACTAATATTTAGGATCGCTGTGCTTCAACATATTAGACACCTAAGGTCAAGGAAGAGATCTCTCTTGTAAATGAGTCCTCGTGGCTCAATGAGACTAGCCTATATAAGTAAAGGTTGAATGAATGAACCTAAGCCATAATATTTAATAAGATCACTCTTCTTTCTTCCTGACTGTAACCCCAGGTGTGTATCTGCATCGATCGCTACATGGCCGTGGTCAACCCAGTGATTTTCTCCAGATACCGAGACAACATGGCCCGAATCGCCATTTCTGTCGTGGTCTGGATTCTGATAATTCCCTACAGCCTGACAAAATCGATCCTTGGAATCATGAGCGTGGCGGACGTCTTCGGCGGGGTCATCCTCTTTGCATTTGCGGTTATGGTCTTCTGCAACATCTCTGTCATCTGGGTTCTCCGTCACTCCGTGGCAGGAAAGGAGGTGATGCATCCAGTGAAGAAGAAAGCCTTGAAGATGGTGCTGAAAAACCTGGCCATCATCGTGGTCAACTATCTGACTCCTGTGGCCACCATGCCCTTCGTGTCAGCTTACACCAATATTGAGTACCGTTGTTTCATCGGCATCATCGTGTTCTCCATCATGGATCTGAGCTGCGTCATCGAGCCCCTCCTCTACATCACAAAGATGGAGAAGCTGAATGTTATGTGCTGCAGGGTGGGCTCTACAGAAAGCTTGAACAACAAGGCTCCGTCTGTGTCGGGAGAGAAAAAAACCCTCCATCTGAGCCCTGCACTTTACACAGAGCGGTGCGTTCACTAGCGTTGGAACAGCCATGGTGCATTCAAGAGCATAGGAGCTATTAAAGTCAGAAAGCAAGAAGCTATAACCAAAGAGAATCTAGCTCAGTAAACAAGCCAACTACACAACAATGTGGACTTTCTAGCAGCTTTGTTAATAAAGGTTAATAAAGGTTGAATGAATGCATTTCATTAGAATCAGACTTTTTAAAGATCAATCTTTCATTGTTCAGTTCAAACTTTCCAAGTTTTTGTCATTGGATACTGCACCCAATAAATGTTGTTTTGGAAATTCTAACCATTCACTTTTACTTAATACTCTTCCTTTAAGTACATTTTATATGAAAAACTTACTTTTGATACTTAAGTACATTAAATATCAGATACTTTAAGACCTTTACTCAAGTAATAATTTTAAAGGAGATTTTAACTTTTACCCAAGTAATTTTGTGGTAAGATACTTGTACTTTCACTGAAGTATTACTTTGAGGTTATACAACACTGAGCTGGACTCATTGTTGTTTGTGAAACATCAACCACTGCTGTACTGTCTGCAATTTTGTAAATACTGAGCTAAAAGTTAGTGTGGTAGTAGCTGAGCATCATTCCCCACACACACTCTAAGATCTAAAGTTAAAGTTACATAAAGTTATTTTAGAGGTTTCAACGAAAAGACTGAAACTGTCATTCTAGAGATGATAAAGCTGGCACGAACGGCAACAACGGATAAATGCATAATTTAAAGATGGCTACATTTTCGATTGTTATAAGCATTTGCTTTAGTTTTACTAACGTAATCATGAATTACTGAAACCAAAGCACTTCAGTAATCAGAATCAGAATAAGCTTTATTATCGTTGCACTGAGATACGAGAACATGTCCGTACAGCCGTCCAAAAATTGGACTGAGTGCATGAAGCTGCTGCCATAAGCGCAACCTCTTATTCTTATTCGGAATAATACTTTTAGGCTTAGATGAGAAAAAGGGAACATGAGGAGAGAAGCTATATTTTTAAAAAAGATCTCTCACACTATGTCCTAGGCAGGGCACAGTTTGAGGCATCAAAAAAAACTACCACAGCAAAGCAACATAAACAGACATGATACATATGGGGCTGGTGAAGGCCTTGAGTTTTAAGGGAAGGTCGTAGCATAGCCCCCCTCAGCCATTGTCCAGATAAGAGGTGTTTGTTATCACCAGCTCAGTCAAGGTTCTGTCACATGTCCACGGCCTTGGGGAAGGGAGGGTTGAGGAGACAGACAAAGCGTCTTTGTTTTTCATAAACATGCCACGAGGAATTGAGATAGTCCGCCTTCAAGGCCAGGTCCAGATCCACAGTTTGGGTCTGCAGGCAGAACTTGTAAATTGTCGTTTCAGCATTTTAAAGTCTCGCTAGTACATTTCTCTGATGGTGCTTCCAAACAGCCCAATTGATTATTAACGCCGAAGTCGAGCTCGCAGCTTCTCCAAGATTATTCCCAACCGTTCATGGGTGCTGCCAGAAAGTTCATAGTCCTGATTGTAAGATCTTGTAGTAGATTTTGCATTTGCTAGCTTGCATCACCTGTTTACGACTAAGAGTTTCATCAGTGAAAAGATTAAGCTGCAGAGTACACTGAACAGTAGTACATAAAATCCCAAAGGATCTGTTTTATTTTTTTACGTCATCCAAACAAGGAGCATATGAGACAAATGAAATGTTAATTTGTGATGGACTGCTTGTTAAAACATAAACATTCATAGTAAAATGCTAAAAGAGTGGATGAGTAAACTTAAACACAAGCGACTGCATTTTGATATATTTAAATACACAACACACTCATAAAATGAATGATTTATTGAAACAAGTTGCTTGATGATAAAAGCCTTAAAGACTCTGCATGAAGCAAACAATTAGTACTTCTGTACAAACCCAACTCCATTTGAACACACCCATCGTGTATCCTGAAACCATCCAATCGTTTCATACATTCAAACTGCTCTAGTTCACGTTACTGACCAATTACAGCACAGACAGGACACAACTTACTGAAGAAGAAAAAATAATAACCAACAAGAACTGGCCTAACCTAAGAGAACAAACTGGTTCTTGGGAAGAGAGCTCACAAGTTCCTCAGCCCAGTCAGGAAAAGTCATGCTGTAGGTGAAGACTGAGGTAAGTCGATGTGATACTTTGTTTTCTACAGAGAACAAACTTTCAGACAGACTTTCAAAAATATGTGTGTATAAAAAGTGAACCTTAACCGTTTCCTTCACTTTTGTCTCCTATGAACCCAGCCTTCCAGCATCAAGACCTCTTACTGACCATGTTAAACAGCAGTCTAAGTTCAGCCGTCAGCCTTCACGATAACTCCTCCATCCCCGAGGGTTACCATGGTCCTCCACTGTGGTATCACTACCCCGAATGTGAAAAGACTCCTTACACGTTTATTTTCTACTACGGAGTCAAGGT